AATTTGAAGGATGTTGCAGGTTTTGTCTTTATATGTATGTAAATGAAAAAGTGCTGCTTTAGATGAATTGTCTTTTCGTTCTTCAAAAGAAAAAACTTCAGTAAGGTCAAATTTTGAGGGTAAGAGAGCTTTACAGTTCTCAGAAAGTTTAGTTGCTATTTCGTATTTGATAAAGTTGAAAACTTTGGTTTTGTCGATTTTTCGAATTGTTTTCCATATGCTTCAAAAAAGTTTTCATACCATTCTTTAAGTGTATCTAGGTGTGGTTTAAGTGATGGGATGTGGAAAGTTTCAAGGAATTTGCTTTTAGGAAGATTTAGTGTTATGAACACATTAAATTTTCTATTATTATAGATATTAAAAAGTGGTTTGTTTGGTTCATCAACTAGAATATTGTATTTTAAGATAAGTTAGATGAGTTTGAGATCTAAATCTTTAATAAAGTTTTGATAGTGAATAGTTTGATAATGATTGTGTAAAAATAAATATAAACATGCTAAATTAATAGCAACTTTGCCTCAGTTTGCAGTAGTGTAAGGTGAGATTGGATAGTGTGAGCGGAGGATATGTGCATAATTAAGTTTGGTAAAAAATACTTGTAAAAATTTGGAAAGAAGATTTTTGAGGGTACTTTGGATTGCAGTGCAGTGAAAATTAAAAAATGGGTCAACTTCAGGGTTTGAATCTTTAAAAAACTTAATAAGAAACTCAGGACGTTTTTTTGTTATTATTTTTAATAGATAGGTGAAACTTTGCTTTGGGGCTTATAGTTTGGGTTGTCGGTATTGGCTTTCCCTTTCATAGAAGGAATAGGTTGGCCAGAAATAAATTCTTAGAGGAAGGGTTTGATAAAATTAAATAAGTCTTGTGCAAGTTGTGTGTTAAGTTTTGTATTTGGTTTTATACTCTCTGTAATTAGATATTGTTTAAACCATTCTAAGTCTTTAGAAGTATCTCGGGGAGGATATTTTTTATCTGTTTGGTTGGATTGTTGGTTTGTATTAATATTTTCTTGAGAAGAGGAAGATTCTTGTTAAGATTGTTGTTGTTATTGCTGTTGCTGTTGTTGTTGATTCATACTAATTGTTGTTTGAAATAATGAGGATTCTTGTTGGTGTTGTTTTTGTTTAGGAGGCAGGAGTTTAAAAGCACTTTCAAGAAAGGTTTTTTTGAGTTTTTTTGAGGAGTATTTAAACATATAAACGAGAAGTACTGCCCATTGCTCAGGAGTCATAGGTTTAGTTTGTGGGAGGGGTTTACATTTGATATAAATAATATGAGGTTTGCAGTCATTGTGAATAAGCCTTCCTCTAAAAATAGAGCTATTTTCAGTATCTGGATTATGCTGTTCGTCCTTGACATAACACAAGGTATATTATTAACTTTGCAGATCGTGCAGTAGTGTGTATGTTGAGAATGAGGGATAATGTCAAGGTTTGGGTTTGATTGCAGAGAGAAATTAGGAAAAAGAATTTTAGAAGTGATTTGAGAAGCAGGTGATTTAGGAAGTTTTTCAGAAATTCTATTGAATCTGTTTTTTGAGATAGTTGAAGAAATTTCCATAGCTAGAGCAAGTTGTTATTGAGATAGAGGAGTAATTTTAAAAAATTTCAAAGTAAAGTTTACATGTTATTTTCTACAGATACAGGTTTTAAGTATAGGCTGTGTAGGTAAAAGAAAGAAGTGATAGTTCTTGTTGTTTTTAGCTTTACAGTTTTTGGGATTGGCATTAGCAAGAAGGATGCAGAGAGATTGTGGTTTGTCTTCTGTCATTCCAAGACCAAAATGACCTTGGTATTTAAAAACCAGTGGTTAAGATCAAAGGAGTCAGGTTGAGTATCAATAAGGGTAGGCATATTATAATATATTTGTACTATATATTAAAAAGAGAAAATTTATTTTAAATTTGGCAAGTTATAAAGAAAATTTATTTAAAAAAGAGGTTTTGTAATAATAGATCATGTCTTTTAATTAGAAAATTATGATTAGGCTTATGAAGAGCTTTTGAGAATAAAAATTTGTTTTGTGTAATGTTGAGCAAAAAGTCAAATTTGGGTAGTACAAAGTCATGTGTTACACAGATTACATGTCAAGTCACATGTCAGGCTGGGTACTGTGTTGCACAAATTTGGCAAATTTGTGAGACAAAGGTACTGTAGTTTGTGTAAATTAATAAATTACAAAAAGAGCAAGTATTTGTTTTGTGTAATTTGGATTAATAATTTGTATATAGTTGATTTGTAATTTGATTGTTTGAGAAGAACCACTAATTTTAAAGTATTAGAAAATGTGGGTGACATGATTTTGGGCTAGAATAGGTTGTACAAAAAATGTCTATAGGGTTTTTGCAAAAAAGAAAAAAAGAGAAAAAAGAAAAGAAAAGGTAGGGAGTTGTAGGAGTAATTTAATTATATCTTTGTCAATTTTGATGCTACAGATATGAGCTATAGCTTGTTATGACAGGAAAAATAATCTCTTGAACTTTTTCTATGCTTAGAGAATAGATTATGAAGGTAGTTTTGCCGTAAATTACAGTTTTGTAATTTGAAGGCCGGAAGGCATTTCTTTTGATAGTTTTAAACACTAGCGGTTTAAAACTTTAATATTATATATATTTTTATGAGCAGAATTTATTTATTTAAGAACAAAAGTAAGGTTTACTTAATAAAAATAAAAGTTATTTAATTATTTTGTAATTTTTTGTTGGGAAAAAGTTTGTATGAGTGATAGACAGAGAGAAAGAGTTTTTTTATCCTATGATTGAGATCTTTATTTGACACAGTAATTATTAAAAAATCATAGTAATAGTGTTTGAGCATATCCCAATAATATCTTCATTTGTATTATTAACTTTTATCCAAAATGTTATGGCAATAGCTAAAATTATGTTATAATAGATGTGCACTATTTAGATCACTATGAAATCGCATCTTGATTGATGCTTGAGAACACCCTAATTTTGTTAATATATACTTATATATTTCTATTTAAAATTAATTTTACGTGGAGATTGGAATCGATAAATGAATTACCACAAATTCTTTTAATTAAAATCAAACATTTATTAATCTTCTGATCATATAAAAAATTTCTAGTAGAGAAAACTAACTTTATGAATTGAACATTAATACTCGAAAAATTCAGGGTTTTACAAATGTTTTTAAAACATTTAATTGTTCTGTTCCTTCTGTCCATTCTTTTTTTTTTTTTTTTTAACATTTCCCAGTGGCATTTGCCCTGGGACACCAAGTAGATGTACTTTATTATAAAATTATTATTACAAAATATATATTAATTTAAAGTTACATATTTATATGCTCTAATATGCTTCTTTTCTCTTTATTATTACCCTGTTCTGTTCTCCATAAGATGCCTAGGGCTTTGACTAGCCAGTTTCTGGTGATGAAGGGGATAGCTAGCTCCGGAATTACGGAAGATCCCCACTTGGATTGTGTATAGTATAACCATATTTCGTAGATTCCGAAGACATGTAACCGCCTTATTGCGGGTCTTATTTTGGGCTCTGTTATATTGCTAAGTTGCAAAATTTCATCTAATGAATTTGGTGGAGGTATGTTTCCCGAGAGGGATATTCTGGTATATAAAATGTTCCATATTCTTCTGCTTAAGTTGTACTCTGATGCAAAATGTTCTATAGTTTGTGGTGTTCCTTGGCAGTGTGGGCATTCCCCGTTCTCAGTGGGTGATACATGAGCTAATTTGCATCCCAGAGGTAGCGTCCTGTGTGTTAGACACCAAAATATGTCCATTTTTTGTTCTCTGCCCATCTTATATCTGACCACTCCCAGGGGTTACTTGATATAGTATTTTCTCTTTGACTCCAGAGGGTCAAAGTTGGCTTCAAGAATTTTTCTTTCAAATATTCTGTGGCTTTCTTGACTGAATACTCATCACCCTTTATTTGTGCTAAATTTATTTCTGTAGGCAGCCATGGCCACCTCTCTGAATTTGTATTAATCTTTCCTTCTAACTTCTTCCACGCTTTTACATAAGTTCTCCATTCTTCTGGCCACCCTTTCAGTCTAGGTGATGTGTTGTTTAATGCATCTTTAATTCTCATATTGCATCTACTACGTAAACTGTCTGAGATTAGAGATCGTTCTACTTTTGCCCATAAGTAATCTGTCAATATCAATTTAATCAAAGTGGTCATTATTCTTGCTTCTAACATGTGTTCGACTTCTGGAGCCTTGAGCCCACCATCATTATAATTTTGTTGAAAGATTGACAATCTTGAAAGAATTTTAGTTTTATTTTTGATCCAGGTTGCAATTGTCTTTTTTAATTCTTTGATTTGTTTACTATTAGGTGGTATAATATATGCCATGTACCATATGCGTGAAAGTAATAAAGATTTAGCTATTAGGATTTTCTCTTAAAGAAAAGATTTCTTATTGACAGTTTTTCGACTAACTTGTTTAACTTTTGAATTATTTTCGCCATGTGTTTATTTCTATTTGTCCTTTTACATTAACAGAGTATCCCAGTACTGTTATATTCTCATTTTCTTCTAATTTTTTGAAGGCTCTATCACCCTTAAGTTTTACACATTCGGCATTGCAAGTAAGAGGTGCTAGTACTGACTTTTGTCAGTTTATTTTTCATTTGATGCTCTTTCATATATTTTGACTAGTTCTAAAAAAGTGACACAGTCTGTGTATGAACCTAACTCTACTGTTAAATCATCTGCATAGGCTGCTGTTTTAAAATATTGATTTTGTATCTGAATTCCTCTTAAGTTTTTATTCAGTGCCCGGAGAAATGTTTCAAAAACCGTAATATAAAGTAGTGGAGATAAGAGGTCCACCTGACGAACCCCTTTGTTGATCTTAAAGGACTCTAATAAGAGACCTGCATCTGTGATGTGAGCCCTTTGTTCTTAAAAAAGTTTTTTAATTATATTCACGAATTTTGCATTGAGGTTCATTTTTTCCAACACCCGTTCCATAAATCGATGGTTAACTCTGTCGAATACTTTTTGTTGATCAATAAATAGTAACCAGTATTGTTTAGTCTGATCTCTCTATTCCCTCATTGTAGTTATAATGTCTATTGCTGTGTCTGTTATAGATCTACCCCTTATAAAACCTTGCTGGTAATTGCCCACTGCACTGTAGCATATTTTATTGAATCTAACTGCAAGAATTTTCATAAAGATTACAGTCGCAGTTAATAAGAAAAATTGGACGCCAATTACCTACTTCTTCAAGCTTATTTGACTTTTTAGGTATAAGAGTTATTATATTTTTGGTCCAGGAACTAGGTAATGTTCCCTTTTCCATTATCTCATTGAACAATTTTTCTAATATTGGCACAACCTCTTCTTCTATTTCTTTGTAAAATTTATATGTAAGCCCATTCGAGCCAGGGGCTTTATTGTTTGGTAGATTCTTAATTGTATCCTTAATTTCTTCTTTTGTAATTTTTTTGGTTAGTGCTACATTATGTTTTTCTGATATTTGAGGTAGATTGGTAGTTAACTCTTCTGCTGCTTCTGAATCAAAATTCTCTTCTTTGTATATATTTTCATATATGTATCTAATATAATGTAAAATCTTGCTTGGTTCTATCTTAGTAGAGTTTTCTGGAATACAAATCTTGGAGGTGGCTGAAGTTGTTTGTCTTATTTTATAACGTAAGAAAAAGTATTTTGTTGAACATTCTCCTTCCTCAATCCATTTGGCCTCTGATCTTATTTGCTATTTGTTCACTAATGTATCCAGTTCTTTTTGTAATTGAAATGATAATTCTTCAATTACAATATTCAAATCTCCCTGGTTTGGATTAGCTGCTATTTTTGTTTTAAATTTCGTGATCTTTTTATTTAACTTTTGGATTTGGTTTTTGGGCATCGCAGGGGGCTTGAATGCCCAAATTATGGATTGAACACAGCACTTTAGATAGTCCCAATCTTTTGCTTTTTTGAAGCTTCGTATTTCTTCTATAACTTCATTTTTCAGGTTTATATTGCCTCAGCATCTCTTGTCAAATTTTCAGAAGGCAGATCTTTTATTTGGAGCTTTGAAATTGAAAGTACATTCGACAAAAAGATGATCTGAGTTTCCGAATTGGGTTTTAACATCCTGACAGAACTGGATATAGTTTTCTTTAACAAATATATAGTCTAATCTGGTGGCCATGGCATTATTGCCGCGTGTTGTTTGGAAAAAGGTAAGAAAGGGTCTACTTGTTGCCACCTCTGCTGTGTCAGTAAAGCTCTTAAGACGTTCTTGCAGTTTTACTTTAGTAGGGTCACTATGTACTTCTGCTTGACTGATTCTATTTTCTTGAGGATTAAGATTAATGTTAAAGTCCCCTGCAATTATGTTAATAGCTTCTTTGTCTACTACAGAAGCTCAGTTGTTTAGAAATGTAGTTCTTTTCACTATATTAGAAGGTGCATAAATATTTGAAATTTTAAAAAGTCTGTGTTTAAACTTAAAGTTAGCTGAAATTACTCTGCCATTATGTGCTTCTTCAATATTTTCAAATGTGATATTGCTTTTGCCTGCCAAGATAGCTGATTTTGTTGTCCAATATGAGTCGTAAACCTACTGTTGAGCGATAAATTCTCTTAGATTTTTACTAGTTATATTAGTTTCTTGTATCACTATAATATCAAAATAGTACGATTTGAGTAATGTTAATGTTCTCTGCTATTTGTGCCTATCGTTTAGGCCTTTTACATTTAATGTAGCTATTTTTAGTACACAACTCATTTAAGTTAATTTAATTTGATAGACAAGGTTTGTTGTGCCTCAATTCTTTTTGCCCTTTTATATGAGTTGTGTCTATCTGTATTCATAGCTACGTTTTTACCTTTTTTCTTTTTCTTGGATACTAAAGTGAAGCCATCATCATTGGGCTCTTTGTTGTTATATTCCCTCCATTATTTGTATATTTTGTTTCTTCACTATTGGTATGTATAAGTTTTTCTGATGAATCTATCTCTTTCTCAAAGCCTGTTGTTATTTTTTTTGATTTCTCTGTAATGTTCTTATTTGCAGTTGTTGAAGTTACTTCTATCTCCTTTCCCTTTTTCACTTTCTCAGTTTGGGTATCACCATCAATAATCATTTCAATTGGTGTTTGGTTTGCTTGCTTTTTGGGTTCAAGAGAGGTTCTTTCTATTCTAGTGATGTTGTTTTCAAGTTGTATATCTTTGTCAATGTTCATTTTTGTTAATGTTTGGTCAACTTGTATATTGGACTTAACAAAGACCTCTTCTACTCTATGGACATTCTCCTTTATATAGGGGTTGTTGATACTGAGAGCACAGTGCTCCTTTATTATATTTTGTTGTTTCATATACTCCTCTTTGCATTTTTTTTGAAGTTGTCTTAGTTCAATTGACATCTTGTATTCAGGGCAATCCCATTTAATGTGACCCGCTTTATCAATAAAAGCATAATTTTGGAGCCTCTTTCCATTCTATTAACACTTTTTGGTCACAAATATATGTGTGTCTTGGCATTCTTTCTGCGAGGTCTGGATCATCAGTTATCTCAAATATAACCACCTATTGGTTTGAGCTAATTGGGGTTCCTTCATAGACTAGCAGCTTGATGGATGTTATTACCCCAATATCCTCTAAAGCCTCCCTAACATGTTTTGAAATAACTTCCTTATGCCCCATGGGGACGTTTCTAAGCTTGACTGGTAGGTAACTCCTTCTCAAGTTTATCAGAATATAGCCGAATATAGTTTGCTTGAAGATGGTTATGCCTTCTGCTGCATAGTATTTTTGCTTTTCTTCATTAGAGAAGATTATTTCTAGGTGAGCATGTATCCCCCCTAGTGAAATGGGGTTTTGCTGCTACAAAATCATCATTTATTTTTGCATACATAGCAGAGATGACTTCGTTAGTTGAATATTTGTCTAAATTTTGAACATCAAAAATTAATGCATTATCATTTTTTATGTATATTTTACTTCTGGGAGAGAATGTGGAATAGGTTGCTCTTCCACTTCTCAATTTTGTAAACAAGCTGAACCATTGCTTCTTGGTTTGAGGCTTAAATTCTTCTGCAATTTCCGTTGTAGTGCTTGTGTTACATGCTTCAATTTGATTATCTGTGTATTCACGTGCTTTGTCATCTGACTTTGTGTGATTTGTTCCAAAAGTTCCTCTTCTGACACTGACGCGTCGCTAGGCTTGGAGATGTTTGAAGTAGAGCCTTCAGTTCCGTTATCTAGTACTGACTCCATTCTTGTCATTTGTTCAAGCTCTAAAGAGTCTGCCCAGTTGATAGGTGCCATATTTGGGGTACTAGAGTCTGCGTCTTGTGTTTGTGTACGTTCTGAATTTTCATTTGTTTCTGCCGTTAAGGTTGTTTCAGCCTTTTTTGATCTAGTCTCGTGAGTTTTGGTCCTTTTTGCTTGCGAGTTTTCTATTTCTATATTTTCGTGCTTCCTTTTTTCTATTGCAGGGGCTTCCGCCCTTGCTACTTGTCTTTTGTAGTGTTTGGGGCTTTGTTTAATTATCTTTATCTGCTACTTACCCAGTACAAATGATTGACCAGTTAAGTTTTTTTTTTTGTTCCTTCTGCCCATTCAATTATGGTCCAACTTGATCAAAATTAATAAAAAAATATTTTTACAGCATATGATGCGTAATATAACTGATATTTTTTTATATATATGTTGTATGTCGGAATGGACTTAGGTTGATTCTGAATAGGAATGGATTCTAATAAAATTCTAAAATGTGCCTAAGTTCGTTAAAGAATTCTAATTTAACTTACAACAAAATTATGTGTACTTCAAAAAATATTGTTTTGGAATTTAAGTCGCTTTAAGATATGATTTATTCATAACACAGGTATTCCAAATTAATTAAATTTAAGAGCTGATATGAAAGTTTTGCACCTATGATTAGTGGAATAGCAATTATTCCTACAGGATATATTCATTATTTTACATTTTACAGTGTTTTTGTCTCATGAATTTTTGCAATTAAATTTAAATTACCTACTTGTAAAGAGGATTGCATAATAGGTGCTTTTCGAATGCTTATAAGCATTGAATGAATACTATTCAACTCTGAAAATTGTCGAGCCCAATTAACACAAACAAGTTTGAGTAAAATTTACTAAGTTATGTTTTAATATCACGTATTGTAAATGTATTTTTTGCCATACAGCTTGATGAAATAAATAGTGATAATTTATTAATCGAAGAAATTATCGATCTCTCTAACCTGCACTTTATTGGAAATAACAATTCTTTTATTGAAGAACAAGGAAGGTTCTCGAATAACAGGGCTCAACGATTGGCTTCAGGAAATCATGATTATAATTCGGTAAGCTTAGTAGCATAATTACAGTTTAATAAATAGATTTCATAGTAGTCTTTACATATGTATTACATATTTATGTACATAACTGATAAAGTATTGCATATCATGAGTTACGACTAGAGATGCGGTAGAATCGTCCCAATGATAGTCGTCACACTGCCGTAACTTGCCAAGTAATATAGTAAGTTACGGCTATAATGCCGTAACTTACTATATAGTTACGGCAAGTTACAGCAGTGTGACGACTATCATTGGGACGATTCTACCGCATCTCTAGTTACGACATAAAACAGTTATGACATGATCGCTATAATAAGGTATATACGCATATTTCGACATACCGTGACTTAAAATAAAACGTTACGACAAGTTATAACTTAATTACGATATGGCTCATCCCAATACCTGAGATTCTACTGCACCTCTAGTTGATATTAAAATATAGAATCGACCCAAGTTACTTTTAAATTTCATATCAACTTATACTACATTTGGAATTCCATCCCAAACCAAGTGAATTCTAAATCTACAATAGTTTAGTTCCGACTTACAGCATATATAAATGAAAATTTTGAATTTAAAATTTTTGCCTTGGGCAATACATATTAAATTCGAATCTTTATCGGACTCATCAGACATAATCAGGTTTCTTCGTCTTGTGCAATTGCATTGTATTATTATGTAAACTTATCTAAATAATAAAATATTTATTGAAACTTCAGTAATATTAACATGTCAACATTATCTAAAACATGAGTATAAAATTTAAATTTTACCTAATTTGCTTTATAGCCATAAGTATTGTTTTGACAAGTAAATGTTTGTTATTATAACTTTTAACAACGTAAATTTTGGACGAACGATTAGTATTGATCAATTATGGTATAGTAACATCAATTCATCTCTCTATATATTTTATAAGTTTATCTTCTATATAAGCAAATCATTTTTGCGCATTAAGTCTCATTGATATATCTCTAATCCAGCACATTTTCATTAATTCTACATAGTCAAATTTCATTAAAAAAAAGTATGAATTGATCATTACGGAAAAGGCCGGTCGTCAGTTGTCGCATTATTATTTCCATACTATAAGATCAAATGTTAGAGTAATGTCCCTGAAGAATATTTACAGAATGTAACGATAGACTAAGTTAGAACGTGAATTTTATAAAAGAATATATTTAATATCATCAAGAATTTCAATTCTTTGTTGCCAATTAAGAAAAGTAGTGTTCTCAAGTAAAAAGTCACACAAATTTTTTGTTATAAGTTCAAAGTCAAGTGCAAAATTTTATGATGTTGATTCTCTCGTTAATCCATAGCATTTGCCAAAAGGATTTGTTCTCATCGTGAAATAGAGGTTTTGGTTGATTGATAAGAAATTTTAAGGATAAAATGATTACAATATTGTGATGTTTCGAGTATGAAATAAAAATTTCCGAGTTTTATTTATGGACATTCATTAAGTATAAGTTTTTATTAGTGTAACAAAATTTGCTACAGTAAATACATCTTTATTTGGTTTACTTGAGTTCTCCGAATGTTTTAAGAATTCCATTTATGTGCCAGTTCTTTCGAGTTGTTTTTATTGACATTCCATCTATCATATATACCTCTTGTTTTCTCTCAAAAGTTATCAACTCGTCAATATAATCAGGCCTTATTGTTATTTGACATTTTCGAATCAAATCATCAATTTCTCCGAACAACGATTCCGGAAATTTCAAGTTCATACGAAAGTTAAAGCCTGGCAAGTTCACGTGCTCAAGTTTCACCAATGTTCTCTTTAACTCATTTTATTAATAGTAAACTTAAAAAAATTTGTAGGGCTATCTTGATTTTTAAATTCATTAAAAGAGATAAGTAAAGCGATTCTAAGGATTCGTAAAATCATAAGGTTTAACTTTAATATCTATGAATTATTTTAAATTAACAATCAATTTACTTTAGAAAAACAATGTTCAGTAATGTAATTGAAGCATTTATTTGCTAGTTTCATAGAATTGAAAAAAAATAATTCAAGATTAATAATAAGAACCGACTATATTATTGATTCATTAATTTTCAAAGAACTTGTCCAAATCAAACACTAACTACCATACGATGAAATTATTTCAAAGATCAACAATTTACAATAATCGATCTAGATGCTACCAATCTAACGTATTTTCTAACGTATTTTTCCAATGGCTCATTAAAATTGTAATTCAAACTACAAAGTTTACTTATACCTACGTATTTCAAAGTTCTCTTTTGTTTGCAAAATTCAATTAACGCTTTAGATTGTTTCTCGTTAACAATGTTACCAATTAACAGTTTTTTTAAAGGAACATAGCAAAATGTCAATATAAGAATCTAACCAAGGAACTTTAAAAGAATATGTGTCAAGATATTGCACTGTTAATGGCAATGATTCTGCAAACTGCTTAATTTGCACTTTAAGCATTTCCTCTGGAATGGAATCAACTTTGCAACATAAAGTGAGAAATTGAAGTTTTTGTAAATTACCAATAAGTTCTATAAGTTGAGTGGAAAACTTAATGAGTGAAATACAAAGAAATGTAATGTTTGGGCAGAAAAATTTAATATCTTTCAGTAATAAAGTATCATCCTGAATCTCTTGATTTGAAGAAATAAGTTTTAGTCGTTGTAGTGATGAAGTAAATTTTTCTAAAATTTGTGGTATACCCGATGTATCAAGCGGGGAATCAGCAATTTCTAAAGTGTTCAGCTTACAAAGACTTGAGTTTAATATCTTCGATATATTAACATTTTCGCAATGGTTTATACGTCTTATACGAAAAATTTCCAAATTTTCACAATTAATTAGCACTTCCAACTCTGATTTACCAGAACAATTTTGAATATCAACTTCTTGTAATGATTGGTTTTGACTTTCTAAAGCTGAAAAAATACCGTGAAAATCTGTACTAATATAAAATCTACTGACTATCTTGATTTGCCTAAGTTCCGCTTGTGATTTAACAATATGTATAAGCGTTTGAAATACTTGTGGCTTACAATTAGTATAAAATTCAGTAAGTTTCAGGGCACTAATTTTCGTAGTATGTTTTGCCAATATTTCTAATACTGTAATAACACTTTCGACATTGGCATCGGCTGATGTTGGTATTTTCAAAGATAATTTTTGGAGTTGTGAAAAAAATTTCTCATTTCTTTCAAGTAAATGGAGGATCTCTGGTTTAAGTTCAATAAATTCAGAATTATAATATAAATCTAATTGATGCAAAATGGCACCACTATCAATAAATAATTTAAGTAATGAACTGATTATATGACATATCAATGGATCGTAATATGTTCTCGAACTAACTGGCTGGAAATCGACCCACTTTGTAACCTTACGCTCTAGACTGGATAAATCGAGAACCTTTAAAAATCTTGCATAATTAAATAGTGTCTTGGGAAATTCTTCATTTATTCCATATTCTTTTAAACCTGATTTTTTGCTCTCATCAAGAGATGAAAAATACTTCGAAATGAATAACGGATTTTTCCTGAATGAAAACGGATCTTGCCAAAGAATGGGAATTGACATTTTGTACCAATATCGGCTCACAAGTGCGCAATAGTATAAGGAATAATATTCATTACTTAAATTCTTAAGAATATTATCCATCAATTCAGGCAAATCGCCCATAAATATTTTTGATGCCATGAATTACTTTTGTGTTGTAAAACAGAAATTGGTTATTTTATTATATGAATCGTACCCTATTTATAGATTACAAAAATCCCTCATTACGTATACGTAACGTGATCCGTGATCTGTGATAATCAAAAGTTGCTTGATAAATTAAAGTCAAGAAAACCGCGTTACAATTAGAATTATTTATGATTTACTAGTAAAATTTTCACGTTAATCATTTTTAATTAGACTGCAGAAGATTCTTTCTTAGTTAAAATTTCGAATTATTTTTGTTAAAAAATTTTTTTACTTATAGATCAGTGGATTTTCAAGATATCAGGAAATTTTTTAAGCTTTTTGTAACAAAATTAATAAATTTAAACCCAAAAGGTTTGCTCTAGAACTACAGCATATAAAGCTATAAATGTAAAAATTGAGGTAGCAACATACTTTTATATAACTATTACGATCATTCAATTTCTGTCTACAATAATAAATATATTATACGAAATCATTCAATTCAGCAACTGTACTGTACATTTAGTTCGAACACTTAATGAACAATATTCGTAATTTGATTACTTCACTAACAATTTATAATTT